GAAAAAAAAAAAAAAAAAAAAAAAGTAATTCTCCCCAAATAAATCTACAGATTTAATTTAATATCTACCGAAACCTCAGCTGTACATTTTTGCAGAAACTAAAAAAGAATGATCCTAATATTCCCATGGAAAAAAATCATGGAACCCAAAGGGCCAAGCAATCTTCAAAAAGAACAACACATGGGTCCATACTGCTTAATTTCAAAATCTATAATGAATCAACAGTAATTAGATATTACATAACAGTCATACAGACAAGGCAACAAATAAATTTAAGAATCCAGAAAACTTACATGTATGGTCAATTGATTTTGGCGGGGGGCAAGACCACCAAAACAATTCAGTGAACAAAAAATACCAGCACTGGCCTCTATATGCAAAGGACTGAAGTTGGAACCCTCCTTCTTATCATATACAAAAATTAACTCAAAATGGATTATAGATCTCTATGTAAGCACTAAAGCTATAAAATTCTTAGAAGCAAACGAGTAAATCTGTTTACTTGATAGGCAATGGTTTATCAGATATGATTTCAAAAGCACAAGCTGAAGGACCTGGGACGTTACTCAATGGTAGAGCATTACACAGTTAAGTCCTGGGTTCGACCTCCAGTGGGGGTCAAAGGGAGGAGGTGTAGCAAACAAAAAAGGAATAAATTGACCTCAACACTAAAAACTTTCAGCCAAGTGCAGTATACACCTGTAATCCCAGCTACTTGGAAGGCAGATGCAGGCTGTGAAGTAACAGTGGAACACTTGCCTAGCATTTGAGAGGCCCTAGGTTCAATCCCCTGCACCACACATGGGATGGGGGTGTCCTCAAAGAGATAATTCTCCAAATGCGTTATACAAATGACCACTAAGCAAATGGAAATATATTCAGCTTTTTTTTTTTTGGTACCGGGGATCGAACTCGGGTTCTTGTGCTTGCGAGGCAGGTCACCGAACTGCTGAGCTAAATCCCCGGCCCCTATGTTCAACTTTTTTAGCCATCAGGGAAATGCAAATCATAACCACAATGAAATACCACTTCCCACTCCCCAGGATGATTATAATAAAAGACAGACAATAGTTAAGTATTGATGAGGATGTAGAAAAATTGGAACCCCATAATTGTTGGTGGGATTTAGAATGGTGCATTCGCTTTTGAAGAACACTTCAACAATTCCTCTAATATTAAACACATAGTTACTATCTGACCCAGCAACTGCACTCCTAGATATATTCTCAATAAAATGAAAACATGGGCCCATGAAATCCTACACGTTAATGTTCACCAAAGTTTAATTGTAATAGTAAAAAATGGAAACAAATGCCACAAACACAAGGACCTGAGTTCAATCCCCGGTACAAAAAAAAAAGGAAACAAGTGGACATGATGGCATGCTCTTTTAAATTTGAGCCCAGCCTGGGCAACTTAGTGAGAGACCCTGTCTTGTCAAATAAAAAATTTAAAAACGGCTAGAGATGTACCTCAGTTTAATGACTTGGGTTCAATCCTCAGTATAAACAAAGGGGGGGGGAACCTAAAAGCCCATCAACTATGAATTAAAAAACAAATTCTGATTCCAATCAAGTGAAATAAAGTACTAATACATGTCACAATATGGATGTACCTTGAAAACACTAAATAAAAGGAGCCAGACAAAAAGGCCACATATTGTAATGATTCCATTTACATGAAATGAGCAGAACAGACAAATCTAAAGACACAGAAAGACTAGTGGTTACAAGGGGCTCATCTGAGAGAGAACAAGCGACTGCTAATGAATACAGATTTTCTTTTTGGCATGAAAATTAGATCACGGTAATAGTCGTACAGCTTTGTGAGTACACTAAAAATTATTACACTGCACACCTTTAAAGGGTACAAGTGAATTATGTACTTATAAATATGATGCAGGAGGGCTGGGGATTTAGCTCAGTGGTACTACCACCTGCCTCACAAACGCAAGGTCCCAAGTTCAATCCCCAGTATCATAAATAAATAAATAAGCAGGAATTGTCTCAAGAAAACTTACTAAAAACTGTACAGCTTAAGATTTGTACATTTTCATATGTAAATTTTACCTTAAAATATTTTTGAAATAATAAAAATGGAGTGGGTAGAGGTATAGATGAAACAAGGATACACTTAAGTTCATTTCGGTGTTCTGGTGCACTATGAATGTTTGCAATTTTTCTTAAATTTTTTAAACAAGTATAAACATAATTTTTAAATAAAGTAATTTTTAAAAAGTAAACTAATATCACATCCATCTTGTTTTCTGACACAAAAAGCAGAATCTTACAGCTTAAAAGACCAAAGACATCACCACTTTATTACTCTTTTGCGAGATCCTATGAAAACAAATACAACAGAAGACATGCTGTGTAGCAAAAATGAATACTTCCTTTTAAAGTGGACAAGAAAAATGTGAACTTCCTCAGTTCTATGGATGTGACAACTTCTAATATACACATGGATATAAGAACTAATACAGTGCCGTCTAATACAATAGCTCCAACTACAATCATGTAAATTTTGGTTTTAATAAATTGTGAGTTCAGTTCTTGGTCTCACTAGTTACCTTTCTAATTTAAATATCCACACATGGCTAGTGGCTTATTGGATAAAGTAGAATTAGAATACTGCCATCATTTCATAAAGTTTTGTTGGACAGTACTGTTCTAATACATAAGAAATACCAACAAAGAAATTCCCCAAGCTAGATATCAGCCATGCAACTCTTCAGGAGCAAATTTTCCTGTGAGCTAAAACATATTACTGTATTTCCAAGGATCCTCAAATCAGATGTAAAGATCATGCTGAAATATAAAGTAAATTAGCTCTAAAAGGAGTTGAAGGAAAGGTCTATTTATAACCCATGACATCCAAAAGTTAATAACACAGCAAAAAGTACAGAATAAAATTTCTTCTAAATAGAACTTTTGAGGCAACACATATAACTTAAAGAACTATTAAATTTGTTTCATCTAGGGTAAAAAAGGTGTAGGTGATTTCTAAACATGTAAGTGAAACTGAATTGTGTACTTCATTCCAGTAGGTATAAATTTCTGTTAATGACAATTAACATGTCATATCAGGAAAGAGGTGCATACTTAATTCAAATATTTAGTACACTTTTACCACTTCAGAAAAAAAACTGAAGGTGAGAAAATTTTAAACTGCGAGTTCAAATATATTTTTATATTTAGGAACCCAAAAACAACATAAAAGCTTCACCTTGCATTCTCTCTCAAGTTATTACAGCAAATACTTGGGAGTGTAAAAAACATCCCAAAAGAAAAAAGAATACTTTATGTTAAGAAATTTAAAACCAACTCTCTTTGTGTAAACTCCTAGGCATCCAAAAGCTCCATTGAAAACACTGACAAACCTGAAAAATTTTAAGTACATTTTATCCACAATAAATATTTCTAAATTGACTTCGCTCCCCCAAAAGGAATTATTAAGAAAAAACTTAAACATCGAAATTGAAACCAGCCTGTAGGAAAGGTACTACACAGGAGGATCACAGGAAATCGATGGAAAAAGTTACTACTACTAGGCATCTGGAGTCAAATTAAATCAGCTACTATTTACATATTTCTAACTGTATAGATCTCACGTGGTGCTTCCTCATATGTTATACACAGGCCTACTTAAACTTTCATATCAGAATTAGTATTAGTTTCTACTGTTAACCAAAGTTAAATTCTTTAAAGAATAAAGTAATATTCCATAACTGTTTTCCCATTGTTCACAAACCCACATGTTCATCAAATCACACCAATAAATCCATCTGTTCCTGCTACTTGATTCCAAAGAAAAATTCTAGCAACCAAGGACACCAGATTGTAAAACACACAGTTAAGTATTCTGGCACTACCCAAATATGTTGTTAAGAAATCTTGGCAAATTTGTTTAAAATCCCTTAAACCGTTAATTACTTCAGTTGTAAAAACGGATGAAATACAAACCTATATCCGAGCAGGTATGAGTTAGATCTGCTTAAACAGAAAATATGCCTCAGATTTTCAGGGCACTCCAAATACAACGTACCTATTTCCCATCTCATTTTCCCCTTCTCACCTCTTCCCCTTAAGCTTTCAGGATTGCTTCCAGGCTCCACTTCACTGTTCCTTCATCCTCATACTTTATCCAGTCTGTCTAACCGACCCCCTTACTTCAATCCCACACAAATTACCATCACAGGTTCCAAGATGATACTTCCCTTAGCGTCCTCTGAGGTCCCAGGCAGCCTCACTACTTGGCTCCTCAAATCTCGCTCGGCCCCCATTTCCTAACCGTTCCTCCCTCCGTTCCCCCACCCCCTCGTCACCAGGTTCATCCTGCCCCTCCAACCGTCTCCCGCCCCCAGGTTCCTTCCTGCCCTCCAAACACAGCTTCCCTGTCTCAACGATGTATCTTGTTCCTCCAACGGACTGCTAGTTCCTTTAGTCACTATTTTCTCCAACATTCAACTACTTTCAATCCATTCTCTTCATCGTACACATAAACGGGAACCCCCACCCCCAACCTCGATCCTCCATCTTTCCCTTTTTATACTTGCTTCCTTTCTTTCTCCACCCGCCACCCCCACCTTCTCCGGAAGAGTCTGTTCCCAGGCCAAGGTCTCTCACCTCATTCGGTCACTTCAGTGGTGCCAACCGCTTCATACAGGAAAAAAATAACTAATCACGTCCCCGTGGGCGCTTTCCCTGCGACTCCGAGCACTTACTGGGCACCCGCCCCACCGGGAACCCCGCACATACGCACGCACAAACCGAGGTCCTTGGGGACGAGGGTTAGGGGTACAGTGAGCGTTCTCACACCGGCCTCAAACACAGGCCACTTCGCTACAGCCCTTCGCCATTTTGGTTTCCCGCGGACTAGCGGTGCATTCTGGGAGAGCGGAGCGACTCCAGGGCCGAATGGCAGCTCTCCAGGACCGCGGAGAGGCGGAGACTGCCGCGCGAGCGCGGAAGAACACCGCGCTCTGTGTCTTCGGCCTAGGATGAACAAAGAGGGACTCTTTAACTTTGCGGCTTTGCGGTGTGGGTAAGTCCTTCCGCCGCCGGCGCTAACACAATAGTGAGCGCTGCGCTCCGGGATGTGGGTTTAGGTACGCTGTTTCTATCGCGGCGGCCGATTTTACCTGCGTGTTATTTTTTTCCCTAAGAAATAAGGCAGAGCTTTGTACATTTTCCTGTGGAGAAAACCTTAGCTAAAGCGCTGTTTCTTATTCCTTCACATGAAGGCCTGCTGTTAAAATTCCATTGAGCGAGGAAATCCGGAGTACCACAATTAAATTTTGTTCAGCGAATGCTGTCCAGACTCACTCCGTACCAGGAGCTGCTTTGTATGGGAAGGTTTTCGGACACCACACACACGCACGCGCACACACAAACACACACAATGAAGGGGCTTTTTTATGTTTACCTGCTTTTTAAATTGTAATTTTTTTTGTTTGTTGATTGGTATGGGGGATACGAATTTAGGACCCTCCGCTTGCAAGGCAGGAGGCAGAACCACTGTGCTCAATACCCGGCTCTCTTAATAGTAATGAAACCTGAGAATCTGGTGCAAAGTTTTATCTTTTTTTAATACAGAACTTTCATACTGAGGCAAACCCTTAGCTTGCTGCGGACAGGGCTCCTAACTGACAAAATGAGGGGACATGCTTATCTGTTTGGTTTATTTTTGGGTACATAAAACCTCCAGTAAGTGTTCCTTTACAATTTTGTCAAAATATTTTAAATCATTTTATATTTTTGTCCCATATTGTTCCCATGGGGATAATAGATATAAAGCGTTTTTTTTTCTTTATAAAAAGTACTTCTTGGGACTTATGCTACTTTTGCTCTTATTTCCTATTCCCTATGATCTGTAATTCCCTGTCATCTGTAATCTCAGAATTTATCAAATAAGCATATTTGTGTTGTCCAATATCATTCAATATTTTACCCAGTACTAGTCAATATTTGAAATACTTTAGTAATATTCTTCCACTCTGCTTTTCCTGAGTAATAGTCCTAATTGTTTAAATCTGTCTTCGTACTTTAGCCTCACTATATTTGTGGCCTTTCAAGTTTCACTTTATCTTAATTTTATAACATAATTTTTAATAAATTTATCTTTAATGCCCTTCCTTCATCGGTGGAGGAAAAATTTCAATTAAGAAAAAGGACATACAATTCAAAATTGAATAAAAGTATTAGACAAATTGCTATATTTGCTTCATAACTAAGCCTAATCCATAGAACCTCAGTACTGGAATATAGTTGGTGTAAGTAGGCCTCAACATTTGTATCAAGTGATCATCACACCTCAACTTCAACATGTCCAATGACTTCAGTAAGTCAGAGGCAGTCATTTCAATCTCAGAAACTAACACAATGATCTCCGTAGGGGATATGTTCCAAACCCCCAGTAACACCTAAAGCCTCCTATAATACTGAACCCTATATATACTAATTTTTCTATATGTACATAACAATGATTGATAAAGTTTATTTATTGAGAAAATAAGAGAACAACCATAATAAAAATCATGAATGTGCTCTCTCTCTCTCTCCCCCCCTCTTTCTCTCCTCTTTTCCTAACCCTTTCAAAATATCTCTCTTCCCAGCTCCTCCCTTCTTTTTCTGTTTCTTGGCTTCTTGGCATCTTGGCCAAAAATCCAAATTCAAAACTAGTACAAGGAATAAAATTATAAAAAAATCAGAGCAAAAGTTAATGAAATAGAGACCAAGAATCAATGGCTTGAAGAGCTGATTCTCTGAAAGAATAAATAAAATAGTTAAACCCTTAGCCAATGTTACCAAAAATCACGTGATTATCTCTATTGACATAAAAGCCTTTGACAAAATCCATCCTCAATTCCTAATAAAAACACTGAAATAAATACTTATACAGGGGCTTTATCTCAATCTGACAGAAGCCATTTGTGAAAAAAACAATAGTCAATATAGTATTAAATAGGGAAAAATGGAAAACTTTCCCTCTAAAATCACGAACAAGACAAGGATGTACACTATTACCACTCCTGTTCAATATAGTTTTCTAAACATTAGCCAGAGAGCAATCAGGCAAGAGAAAGAAATAAATGGAATATGTATAAGAAAGGAAGAAGTGGAAGTATTGTTATTTGCAGATGACATGATCTTTTACATAGAAGATTCAGAAAATTCCACCAAAAGACTCCTAGAATAATCAAATTCAGTAGTGTAGCAGGACACAAAGTCAGCACACAAATAACAATAGAGTTGCTGTACACAAATAATAAACTCAACTGAGAAATTAGGGAAACATTGCCTTTTACAATAACATCAAGAAAAATTAAATATCTAGGAATTAACCTAACCAAGGAAGTGAAAGACCTCTATAATGAAATTATAGGGAAATTATACTTTCAGAGTATCCTGACAGTACTCTGAAAAAAGAAATCAAAGAGGACATCAGAAAATGGAATGACAATCCTCTGTTCTCGGAGAGGCAGAACCAACATAGTCAAAATAGCCATACTCCAAAACAGATATGCAGACTTAATGTAATACCAATCAAAATACTAATAACATTCCTCACAAGACTAGATAAAACAATCTTAAAATTCATATGGAACCAGAGGAGACTTAGAATTGCAAAAGCAGTGCTGGACAATAAGAACAAGGCAGAAGGAATCACAATTTCAGACTTCAAGTCATACTACAAAGCTATATGATAGAAACAGCGTGGTATTTGCACAAATGCAGACATGTAGATCAATGGAACAGAACAGAGGATACAGAAACAACTCCAAACACTTTCAGCTACTTGATCTTCGACAAGGGGGCTAAAAATTTATGTTGGAAGAAAGATAGTCTCTTTAACAAATGGTTTTGGTAAAAATGGGTATCCAGAGCTGGGGATTTAGCTCAGTGGTTCCACTGCCTGCCTCACAAGCATAAGGTCCCAAGTTAAATCCTCAGTACCAAAAGAAAGAGAAAGAGAGAGAGAGAGAGAGAGAGAGAGAGAGAGAGAGAGAGAGATAAAAAGGGATATCCACATAGAAAAGACTGAATCTAGATCCATATCTTTCACCATGTACTAAATTAAAATCAGCTGATTAAAAGTCTAAATATTAAAACAGAATCACTTGATCTGCTGGAAGATAAAATAGGTGAACTCTTAAAGACATAGGCCAATAGGCATAATCACAGTTTCTGAACAGAACCCTAATTGCACAAGAGCCAACACCAAGAATCAACAAATGGGATCATATAAAATTAAGCTTCTGCACAGCAAAGGAAACAACCAACAGAGTGAAGAGACAACCTAAAGAATGGAGAAAATTTTGCTAGCTATTCCTTGTGCAGAGGACTAACATGTATAAAAAATTCAAACTATTAAACCTCCCCCCCAAGACCAAATCAAAAAATGGGCAACTGAAATGACTAGACACTTCACAGAAAAAGTAATACAAGTGGGCAATAAATACATAAAGATTCATAAAGATATGTTCAACATCATTGGCCATTAGAGAAAAGCAAATTAATGCAACACAGATTCCATCTTACTCCTTGAAGAATGGCTATCAACAAGAAATCACACAAAAACAAATGCTGGCAAGGTTGCCAGGAAAAAAGAACCCTTCTTTATTGTTGGTAGGAATATAAACTATTATGGAAGTAAGTATGGAAATTCTTCAAAGAACTAAAACAAGAAATTCCATTTGACTCAGCTATTCCTCTCCTAAGTATTCTCCCTAAAGAGTTAAAGATAACATGTTATAGTGATCCATGCTTACCCACGTTTATAGCAGCACAATTCGCAATAGCTAAATCTTGGAAGTGCACTGCCTGCCCATTAATAGATGAACAGATTTTAAAAAATGTGGTATTTATACACAAAGGAGCACTACTGTGCCATAAAGAATAAATCTAGGTCACTTGTAAGAAAGTGAATGTACCTTGAGACCATAATGTTACATAAAATCAGACACACAAGTTATTTTCTTGTTGCAGAGACACAATACTCTACACCCACAACTGTAAGAGGAAAGGTTTATTTCGGCTCAGTTTGTAGCGGTTACAGTCCCTAATCAGCTGGCTCCAAGGCAGGACAGTGTGGCAGAGGAGACATAGCTGGTGGTATGGAGATGGGAAGCCAAAAGAAATCAATGCGGATACACCTTTCTAGGCCATGCCTCCAGCGACCTACCTACTCCAACCAGACTTCACCTCCCACATCACCAGCTATAATCCACTGATAAGTATCATGCCCTCTGTTATGGCTTTTGCCTACATGTCCCCCCCAAATCTTCATGCATTCACAGGTGGACCTTTTTCAGAGATGGCTGGATCTACAGTGTGTGATGCCAGGACTAAAGGTGTGTCCACTGATTGGTTTGGCACTGCCCTAATCCTGGTATTCTAGATAGAACAAAAAGGAGGCAGAAAGAAGCTGCTAAAACCCCTTGCATGCTCCAGCCTGTGTGCTTGCCATGGACTAATTCTCCTCTGTGATGCCCCTCTGCCAGGCCTTGGAGCCCTCCAGCTATGGAGTGAAACCTCTATAAACTGTAAGCCAAATAAACCTTTCTTCCGTTATCTTTGGGTGTGGGGTATTTTGCTTCAGCAGCAAGGAAAGTAATTAAGATACTCCCACTATCCAATCACCCCCCCAAAGCCCCACCTATGAGTGCATCAGGCTTCAGTGGGACATCTAAATATAAACCATAACAAAAGGCAAGAGTGCATGTTGTGGACATAATGTTAGGAGTTACCAAGTTTAACCCTCATGAAGATGGTGAAAAAAGTATAATTTTAAATTATTATTCAGAACAGTCTGGGTCTCCCTGCCTCAACTCTTAGTGTCTATAAAGTA